CAAATGTCAAGGTTAATATAAAAATAGTAAAAAAAATATGAACGCATTGAAGCAGAACGTGAATGAATATTTGCATATTCATTTGTAAAAAAAACATGGGTAATCGAAGTGATAGAAACCAAACTTTGCCCGATTATGATATAAATGTTTTAAGTCAACAAACTCAAATACCACCACATGTTCTTCAACAAATTTATGAAGCATTTATGGAACGAGCTGGAAATAACGGACGGTAAGAAACATCATTACAATGAAATATATTTATTTATATTTCATCTATAATATAGTATGACAGTAAGTGATTTCAAAAAAACCTATATAGAAATAAATCCAAATGCGAATTATTTCACTCTTGATAGTGATGCAGAACGTATGTTTATTAAAATTTATTTTTCGAATTTTTCATTGTTTATTTTTAGGAATCTTCATGCTATTTGATACGGATCGTAATGGTAAAAGAACGACAAAAAAATGCGTCCATTAAGAATTAACTTTTTTTTTTCAATAGGTGTTTTGACATTCAATGAGTTTCTGATGGCATATATTCTGTTACAACGAGGTGGTGATAGCGCAACAAGTCGTTGGCAATATGCAATGAACTCTATGCCTATTAGTGCTTTTTCTAGACCTGGTCTATTGAATTCTGCTGAAGCACTTCTACTCCTTCAATATATGAACCAATTTTATCAATTACCGGATGTTGATCCAGTTATGCTACATAATATTATTTGGACTCAATTAGCACTTCAATTAGATCCTAGCGGTTATATACCACAAGCGGAATATCTTCGTGTGTTATCGATTCAACCTCAAATTCAACCACACATTTGGTGAAGAATTTTCTTACTTTTTTTTTCTACTATTTTTCTCCTTAATCAAAACTAATCCTTTAAACAAGCTCATTATCGAATTATATTTGCTTTTTAAAGTTTTGCTTGATAAAGAATAATAATACTTTAGATTTTTTCTAATGACAGAAAATTATCGAAAAGATTACTAATTTTTTAAATAATTCACTTGGATTTTCTTCATATTGTTATTTATTTGAAGTCTGATATCGAGAAACTAAGGATGATGCATTCATCGTTTGCATATCACATTTATAAAACAAATTCAATTCGATTAGTTATCAGTACACACTGTTGCATATTAGATTAATTTGTTATTTTCTCGCTTATTAGAAGTTTGGTAGAATATTGCAGAAAGATTAGGTCAAGCTTCGATAGTATCTCAAACACACTTAGAGTCGCTATTTAGTGGTAACATAGTACTGTTTTAAAAATGGAATTTTATACCATGTTTAACTCCTATATTCTTGTAGATCTGCACTACTCATTGATATAAATTATGAGTTTAAAAAGATAAAATAGAAATTCTATTTTATCTTTTTTTTGGATTCTCATTATACGTTATTGTAAAATTCAGATTAAATGGTTATTGAAATCTAATTAAATATAAATTCCAATGAATTATATAAATCGACATTATGAAAAAAATAGTAGCTGCAATTATTGAAAGTTTTTCTCAAAATTAATTTAGAAATAATTTTTCTTACCGGATATTATTATCTTAGATAATGGAACCGATAATTTTGTCAACAAATCTATATAATAAATTCTTTTATGTGTTCGATTTAAAGCTCTTATCAAATTTAGGATCAACGAAAGTATTCAATTTATTTCGTTGAGTTGATAAATATGCCATCACAATATAAAATAAGTAAAACCATTACAATAAAAAATAAATAAACGATCATCGAATAAAAATTTATTGAAAATCGACTGTCTTGTTATTGTGACATTTACTTCTTCTGATAGAAGAAGTTTTGATAAAACAAAAAAAAATATTAATCAATCTCCGAGTAAAATCAACATCGAGTTATAGACCCTTAAATATTTCCTTGTTACTTCATTTTTCATTTAAACTTGTGCAGGATTTATTTTTAATTTACGATTGTTTTCGATACTATTGACAATTGTTGTACTAAACGATTCGCTTGATAATTATTATTATCTATAGTTGTTAATGTTTGAAATTTATTTCGACAATGATCTGTTCTGATTAATTTTATTGAATCGAATTCTGTTCATGATTATATTTTAATGAAACAACATTTTGTTATACCTAAATAAAATCATCCTGATTTATGTGCTAGACATACAGATATATCTATGAGTATTTATTAATCTAGAATAATATATGAAAAACAAAAGTAATTTTTCAAAAAATATTTTTTTCAAAATAATATGTGTTCAAGATTCATTAATCGTAAAAAAATTCTTGAAATCGTACAAAAAAAGTTGAGTTTATTGTGTGCTCTGGCTTTTGGGGGATTGACCTGTTTTTTTGTCGTGTTGATCAAGCTCTCCTTTAAGAGTATAATATAGATAAATACACGTATGTGCACACATTATTGTTTCAACTTGATTCGTTCCTAAATATGTTAGCAAATTTGGCGAATTTTTTTGAAAACACAATTTCTCAAATGGAACGAACTGCTGAAGAGGCATGATAAACGAACGATACCGTCCACAATCCATATTAATCGAACGATAAGCAGGTACATATGGTCGAAGAATCACATTTCGAAAAACATTTTCGAGTAGAAGAAAAAGTTCAATGAACTGTAAGAGTTGCGATCGTTTTTCAATTTTTATATCAAACAAGTCAAACAATGCTTTGACTGATTCAAAGTTCCCCGTATTGATTAGTCGTTTCCTCCATATTTGATAACTATCTGTGTCGTAGGAAGATTTAAACTGACGTCGTAGACTAGGCCCATCTTTTTCATCATCGAAGATCTTCATATAGCCTTCTAATGTGAATGGATTTATGTACTAAAAACAGCAAAATATCTTATTTTCGTAATTCTTACATCAATTTATATTACCTCTTTACTAGGATCAGTTGTTGAGCTCATGTCACAGCTAAGTGTCAATGTATTTGCACCTGCCATTATTTGCTACGAGAATAAATGACACAGGGTAAGTTGAAAAATGGCGTACACACCAACACACACTTAATTCTTTCCCTATTTGATTTATTTATTTTTCAAAGTTTTTTTCCCATTGGAACTTCTAGTTTCAACCAATTGTATGAAAATGAGATGTCACTATTATCTACATATTTTTTTATTATTATTTATTTGTCATTCAATATTTCTGATTAATTCTCTATTATATTGACAACTGAATGAGCAATAACTACATTACTCACTTATTGTTCTAAACCTTTTCTGTATCAATATTTATATTCTAATCAATTTTGAATGACATATTATTAGAAAAATAATTAAATAGCCTACAGGACGAATAAAAAACTTTACATCAAAACGTATAATTGCATGGCTTTGAAATGCGATCGGATAAAGTTGAAGTTTATTTTAAGAAAAACGTGAATATTATAAAAGTTTTTGAGGTTCAGCATGTTAAAACAAACTATGTAGTGTAAGAATCTAGAAATATGTTTATACTTTGGATACATAAAAAAGAAGGAGCCTTTTGAAGTAAAAACAAAATTCAGAAACAAGTTTATCAAGATTTTATTTCATCAATCGTTCGATTTAGTTTCTTTGATTATTTAAACATGATTGTGTTTCTTTTAATTCACTATTAAAATTGTTTTTTAGAGTCATCGTAATTCATTAAACTAAGTATCCTAGCTACTACGACACAGTGCAAATTTTCTCAATTGTGTTGCTCGGTGGAATTGTGTTTGATCAAGTTACATAACTAAAAATAGCTTTGTGTCAACTGTAAAGAATCTGATGACTATCATATAATTGCTATACTTTTTTATTTGAAATAGTTCTAAACATTGTTTTGAATATAAGATTTCACATTATGTATACTAGATCCTGATCTTAACTTTCTACTATTTTGACAGTAAGTTGTAAATGATTGTTAATATCACAATAGTGATTGATAGCTTGTCTTTATTTCAGACGATGGATAAATATAGAATCTGTTGGATCGAAAATGATAGTAAAAGACAAAGTTTTCAAAACGAAGTCGCTTATAAGAAAAACAACCATTCGTTGTACGTTTGACAGCCACTTGTTTCTTTTTCATTTTCAACATACTTGAATTTACATACATGTGATTTAATCACACATATGACAATGTAAGATTGACGGTAACATGTATAAAATGAAAATGCACTTCATGAAATCATGGGTGGTGCAAAGTCAATTTTTTTAAGGGAAAACAATAAAATGTTGACTGATTCTATTTCGTTTTCGCCCAATAAAAGATATTATATTAGTAAAATCTTTGTCACTTGATTTAATTTTTCTTAAAGGCATGATATATAGAAGCTTGAGTATTTCGGCTTGTCCACGTAACGCGACACTTCGCTGATCAAGTTTCGAAAAATTTTTTTTTCGAGTTGGACAAATCTGAATGCGTTACTAGATGTAGTTTTTAACGCTGATTACGAATTTGACATTTATTTTGTAAAAAAGTTAGGTTTTAGAATCAAAAACCGGGTTTTAAACTTGTAAAAAATCATATTTTGAATTTTTTAACCAAAAAAATTTTTGAAAAAATATTGAGAGACATACCATTCGATGCAGAATTTAATTCTCTACAAAATGGCCTATTTAGTTTTGACTTTCGTAAGTAAAGACA